GTTTCCAAAGTAGGTGGTCGAGGTTTGTGTTTTACGTAGGTCGAGGCTGCACTTGAGCCTTAGATGTAGTATCTTCATAAATTGTCGATGTTCCATGCATGGGGTACCTACCTCCCCTCTAAGGTTTTGAGCTCGTACGTGCCTTCGCTGATAACCCTTAAGACTCTGTGGGGGTTTTCCCAGTTCAGACCTAGCTTTCCTGCACTAGGCTCAGGTACCATAACCTTCCTAAGTACCGAGCTACCCGTTGTTGGTACGACGCGGTCCAGATGTAAGCCAAGTCACAAACTTCCTTCACTAGGTCGAGATTAGTCTGCATCTCATCCTCATTGGCCTCTTTGTCGTACATCTCAGACCGTATGGTTAGCACTTCGGTCTCGGTCGGGATGGCGGCCTCCATGCCATACGTCAAGTTGAAGGGAATCCCATTGGTTGTTGTCTTGATTGTAGTTCGGTAGGCCCATAAAACACTAGGCAGCTCATCCACCCATAGACCCTTAACTTGAGAGAGTTGAGCTTTGAGGGCTCGCAAGATGGCTCTATTGGTCACTTTGACCTCCTCGTTGGATTGAGGGTGAGCTACCGAGGTGAAATTTTGTTGAATCTCCATCCATCTCGATGAACTAATTTTGGAATTTGATATCTTTGAACTACTTTCCATTGTCTGAGATCAATATTATGACAGTCCAAAGCGGCAGATAATGTTTCTCTAGAAGAAGTTTTGCACGTTCCGAGTTGGATAGAGACTAGTGGCTTGGCCTCTACCCACTTGGTGAAGTAGTTTACCACAACGACCAAGAACCTTCTTTGCTCGGTTTCTGGTGGAAAGGGACTGATTATGTCAATCCCCCACTGCACAAATGGCCATGAGCTGGTCAAGTACCTCAAGTCAACAGTGTGCTATCGGGGTATGTTGGTGTGTCGCTGACACCTATCACATTTCTGCACGAACTGGGTGGCATTTGCCTTTATTGTTGGCCAGTAATATCCTTGTTGTAGCGCTTTTTTGGGTTAGCACTCTGCCCCCTAGGTGTCCTCCGCAGAGACTTTTGTGGATCTTATGTAGCACCTGGCTCGCTTTACATGGGCATAAGCAGCGCAGATAGGAGAGCGTCAATGACCAGTGATACAATTGCTCACCTATGATTACATAGCGAGCTAACTGTCGCTCTACCCTTCGAACTGCATTACGATCTTCAAGGAGGGTCCTGTGGTGTAGATAGTCGATGAGTGGATCTATCCAGCTCGGCTCTATGGCCATGACGAGAGCGACCTCTTCTGTCATTCTTTCGATGTTTGGCTATGGCAAGTCTTCAATGTAGACAGTTCTCTTTGGGATCTGCTGGATGTACCAAGAGTGGAAGTTGGATAGGAGCTTTCTAACCCTAGCCAGATATGCCAACATGGTAGGCTCCCAGGCCTTATACTGCCCATTCACTTGGTTGACTACCAGTTGCGAATTGCTGCAAATGACAAGGTGTTGTGCGCTGACCTCCTTTGCTAGGGACAGCCCGACTATAAGCGCCTTGTATTCAGCTTCATTGTTCGAGGCTCAAAACGCGAATCGGAGAGTATACTCTAGTTTCACTTCATTGGGTCTATAGTGGATCAGTCCAGCTCTACTTCCATGCTGGTTGGATGAGCCATCCACATGGAGGATTCAGGGCTCCTCGTCCCAAGTCGGGTCGGGTGTCGCACTGGTTGATGCCTTTGAGGTGGTCACAGGCTCGACAACTTCAAGGGTCGACGTATTGAACGTGCACTCAATGACGAAGACAACCAGGACATGTGCCTTGATCGATGGGCACTCAAACCCGATGTTCACTCAATGAGCTTGATTGCCCATTTCGTCAGCCTTCTTGAGACCTCGAGCTTCTAAAGAACTTGCCTCAAAGGTCGATCGGTTAAGACTATCATGGTATGGGCCTAGAAGGCCGCTTTTCTATGTTGGGATATCTGGTCTCGATGGTGTGCAGTACTTTACTTACATAGTAGACAGGTCACTGCAATCTATCCACCTCGCGAATTAGGATTGAGATGACTACCTCGTCACTCGCAGAGAGGTATAGTTTTAGCTCGTCTCTAGGTTCTGACCTGGTTAGAAAAGGTGGTGAATTGAGGTACCTCTTGAGCTTGTCAAACATGAGCTAGCACTCTTTAGTCCACTCGAAGTCTTGGTTCTTTTTCATGGCCTGAACGAAAGACATTGCCTAGCTGACTTAGACATAAACTGGTTTGGGGTGGCTATCCAACATGTTAGCCTTTGTACATCTTTTATTGTTCTAGGAGGTCGCATATCTAGGATGGCCTAAATTTTGTTTGGATTGACCTTGATACCTCGTCGGTTTACTATGTACCCAAGGAACTTTCCCGACGTGACACCGAAGGCGCACTTATTTGAATTGAGCTTTAGATGAAATTTTCTAAGTACGTTGAAGACGTTGATGAGGTCGGCAATTAGAGTTTCATGGGATTTACTCTTTGTGACCATATCATTTATGTACATCTCTACTTTGTCTCCAACCAAAGGGGTGAAAATTTTATTCACAAGGCACTGATAGGTTGCCCTAGCATTCTTTAAGCCGAAAGGAATGACCTTGTAACAATAAAGGTTGGTCTCAGTCACAATGGCCGTTTTCTCTTGGTCGGTAGGATCCATCTGGATCTAGTTATAACTGGAATATGCGTCCATGAAACTCAATAGCTCAAACCCCGAGGTCACATCTACTAGACGGTCCATCCTTGGGAGTGGGAAGCTATCCTTTGGGCAAGTTCTGTTGAGGTCGGTATATTTGACGCACATGTGCCACTTCTTGTTGGCCTTCTTCATGAGGACTGAGTTGGCAATCCAACTCGGATATTCGACCTCCCTCATGAAGTCCACCGCGAGGAGCTTCCCAACCTCCTCGTCTATTACTCTCCACCTCTCGTAGGTGAAGTTCCTTTTTTTTCTATTTTTTCGGTCTGATTAAGGGGTTTACATTCAGTCTATGGGTTATTACAGAGGGGTCAATGACAGGCATATCAGCGGCCGACCAAACAAAAACATCTTGATTATTAATTAAAAAGCTTACCAATTCAGAGCGCAGTGGTTCCTTGAGGCGTTTGCCAATCTACATTGTCTTTGAGGGTTGGTACCTGAGACCAGTACTAGGACAGTGTCTTCCATCGGGTGAGCTCTTTCCTCGTTGTTCTCCAAGGGCGGCTCTAGGTCGACATCGACCTGCTTCCCTTAATGCTTCAATGTTGCAATGTAGCACTTTCGCGATTTGAGTTGGTCGCTGCACATTACTCCTATCCCGTGGTCGGTGGGGAACTTCATAGCGAGGTGGTATGTTGATAACACCACTCTAAGGGCATGTAGTATTGGTTGGCCTAGAACGGTGTTGTATGGTGAGCTCGTTGCCAACACTAGAAAGTCATGTCGGAACCCCGTCCTGTTCAATGTGGTTCTTATTGTCACAGACAGGTTGATCCGTTCAAGAGCCCGAGTCGCTCCACCATCGAAACCGGCCAGGGGAACATCGGCTTGGGTTTGGTCTTCCCTTCGCAGTCCCATTTGCTTAACACTCAAAGGAACATGATCTCTACTGAGCTATCAGAATCGGCGAGTACCCTTTTTGCCTCATAGTCGTGGATCATGAGCTTGACTATGAGAGTGTCATTATGAGGGTAACGGATCCCGTGCATATCGTCTTCATTGAAATAGATCACCTCTTCAATTCTTCATCGTTTTGGCGTTTTCTCCCCCTTACAATCCAATCCGTGAGTTAAGGCTCAACTAGCAGGGGCAACAGAACCTGTTGCCTCCAACTCTCCAACGATCGTGTTAATCATGCTGCGAGCTGGTGGGTTATCATATTGCTACGTTTGCAGGTTGGTGCCGTGGCTACACTGCATCAACTCTCGAAGACGCTGGTTGTCTACTCCTATGAGATCCATAGAGGGCTCAATTTGTGGGGGCAACTCCATTATCTGTAGGTCATCAACTCGCACGGGAGCCTTGAAGGGCTCGACCCGTAAGGGCGACTCCACGATCTGTTGGTTGCTAACTCCCACGGAAGCCACTGAGGGCTTGACTTGTAGAGGCGACCTCGTGATCAAGGCTGATGAGGCTCGTCTGGGCGAGACCGTTGGAACTTGTCTGGGCTGATCATTCTGATTCTGCCCCCTTGTGGGGATTCTTTCGATCCAGGCATTGTTGTTGTTGCTTGAGGATGCCATTGCTTGAGGCTTAGAGAACGACTGAACTTAGCTTTTGTGTGGCATATTCCCACAAATAGCACCAATTGATGGTGCACGATTTGGTGCTCTCTGTTGGCAAATAGCTCAGACACCGGACTGAGTAGATCGCTTGATCGAGCTGTAAGAAAGTGATTATTAGAGTGTCCAGGTTGCTTTACCCGGGGTGGGCACTCCGATGCTTGAGTCAGCGAAGAGTTTTGATTGGGTTAAAAGCGAGAGAACTAGAGAGCTAGTGAATTGTGAGAGCTTGTACCTTTTTTGTGAATGGGGATGCCTTTATATGCTAGCTACCGTGAGGCTCACGATGCGGATCTAAGATCTCCAGACCATTTGTTTGGAGGTGGTTTCACACATAGAGATGAACTTCACATAAACGGGTAATGTCTATCTAATCGCACTCAAAGCAGGCGGGATGATAATCAACTCTTCCAACATAGTATTGATACGAGGAAAATTGGAGATGATAACTTGATGAAGAAGATCGCTCGACATGTCTGGCAGGTCACTAGGACTAAATCGGCACAAGTAAATTGCTTCTTACGCCAACCTAAAATCTTGCCACACAATTGGAAGTATGACCACAGATTTGAAGTCCACCCCTAGGAAAATTAATTACTAATTAATTTGAAGTCCCCAGATTTGAAGTCCACCCCTTCGCTGCATGTACAAACATACAACTACAAACCGCAAAATCCAGGGGGGCTCCACTACAGTGCCACATGGATTTTTTAGATTTCCTATAATTGGTGGAGCACATTCCGTGGCCAATTCTGTGGATTAGCATGCCATCTCTTTCCCTGTTACTAGTCATTCCCCCCTTTCCTCCTTCCTTGCTCTAGAGTCTCCATTCATCTTTTCTCTGATCTCTCAGTTGAGCTACAAAGCAAGTAGTCAACTTATTAATTCTTAGATCATTAGATACAAGGATTGTGGGTTTGCATTTCTTGAACAGCAATGACTTCAGCACTTCTCTGCAGTTCTCTGCACTCCTCAACCATGGGATTCTCAAGAACCCACCTTCCAATTCCCAGCCTCAAATACTTCTCTGAGGAGTTTGTGTCTTCTTTTGACCACAGTTTCCACTTCAGAAGTAAATCAGTTGAGCATAGGAAGAGGATTACCTCGGTGAGGGCTGTAGTGGAAGCCCCCTCGTCTGCCACGTCTACTCAGGCTAGTGGAAGCGGTAAGAATTTTCGGATCCTTGTAGCAGGAGGTGGGATCGGTGGGTTGGTTTTTGCTCTGGCTGCTAAGAGGAAGGGGTTTGATGTGGTGGTCTTTGAGAAGGACACCAGTGCCATTCGAGGGGAGGGAAAATATAGAGGGCCGATTCAGATACAGAGCAATGCATTGGCTGCGTTGGAGGCTATTGACTTGGGCGTGGCCGACGAGATTATGAAGGCTGGTTGCATCACTGGTGATCGTATTAACGGGCTGGTTGATGGGATATCTGGTTCTTGGTAAGTACTTCCTTTTTCTGCTCTGCTTCTTTCTTTTTCTTCTTCGGGATCCGTTGCTCAACGCCTCAACCCCAAAGGGAATTGTTTTTTCTTTTTTTTTTCCTTTTTTTTTGTGGCAACCCCAGAGGGAATTGTTAAGATTGTATTGGTTGTTGCTTATTTGCACTTGTGAACCTGTCCCTGAACGTAATTTGACAACTGTATCAGAAATTTAAACGCTTGAACCAAAACATGATATGGTGGCTATATTATGGTGCAGAGAGACATTCTAGATTTATCCCCTTTTTGGCTTTAGAGATTTCCTGCAATCCTTCCATATCCAAATACAATGGTTGGTGTAGGCTACTTAAAATTTAGATTTGAAATCCTTAGATGAAGTTAACCAAGCATGTGATGACTAATAGTGTCCTAGATGACTCTTTTTTTTCTATATATTTTCTTTATAAGCATCTCTTTTCTACATCAAGTAATTCATAGCTGGCTATCAGGTACATCAAGTTTGATACATTCACTCCTGCAGTGGACCGGGGCCTACCTGTCACAAGAGTTATTAGTCGGATGATTCTGCAACAAATTTTGGCTCGAGCAGTTGGTGAAGATATTATTATGAATGGCAGTCACGTTGTTAATTTTGAGGATGATGGAAATAAGGTAACTGAATTTATCAAGCATTCTTTTCTTTTCTTTTTCACCGTTTACTTAAAGAGGCTGTTCTTTAGGAATCATCTTTCTTCTAATGATTTAATAATCAAAAACTCTTTCTTCTAAAGCGCTTATAGAAATGGCAAATTTGTTCCTGCTCACTGCATCTCTCTTATTTTCACATTTCAAGCGCAGGTTACCGTGATACTTGAGAATGGGCAGCGTTATGAAGGTGATCTCTTAGTTGGAGCTGATGGTATATGGTCAAAGGTTACTTCATATGTCTTGTATCTCAAAGAGAAAAATCTATCAGTAGACCAGAAGGCTGATTTGTCTAACAGCATACAAATTATGCATGGAACATATGTGGAGTTTCTGATCCACAGTTTAAACATAGAAGATCTGTGCCAGAAACTTAATTGATAAAACTGATCAAAAAACCTTAATTCATAAAATTCCTGCAAAATCTGATCAATAATAGTGGTTCGGAAGGCTAAAAATTATATGACAAATGTTGAAGAAACATAGGTCAATTATATTACTGATGTTGAAGAAATTATATGCCCATCAAATGATGGTTCCTACTAATTCTTTGCCATGCATAATGTATGCTGTTGTATCATGCTTGGGTATGCCTGTCCTATGACTTATTATCTGGGAAAAATCAAGAAAATAAAAATTCTCATGAACAGGTGAGGAAGAACTTGTTTGGGCACCAAGAACCCTGGTATTCAGGTTACACCTGCTACACTGGTATTGCTGATTTTGTGCCTCCAGATATTGAAACTATTGGGTATGTTCTTCTCTTGCAGTAGTTTCTAACCTTCCATTACTAACATCTCCTTTGTGCTTCATATTGTCTTTTTGAAAGTTAAATAATCATTTTTAGTTGGCTGACAACTCATACAGTATTACATATATGGTCTAATACCTAGGTTACTTTCTGAAGGTACCGCGTATTTCTGGGTCACAAACAGTATTTTGTTTCTTCAGATGTGGGTGGTGGAAAGATGCAGTGGTATGCATTTCACAAGGAGCCACCTGGTGGGGTAGATTCTCCCAATGGTAGATATCTTTCATATACTCAAGCTTTTCAGATTCCACATATCAGTTGATAGCATTGTAATTGTGTCTATTAAGTGCATGGAAATTATCAATAAGTCGTAACTTGGAATAGTTAACTTTTATAACTAAAGAAAGTGAAAATAGTTTTCAAACCAGCAGGAAATTCAAGAAGTATAGAGCCCAATTTGGTTAGGAAATTATTCCTAGGTTTAGATGCTATCCATGTAGTAATTGTACTGAAGAAGATCACCCATCCTAGAGAAAAGAAAGGTCTAAAAAAATTAAATAAATTAATTGTTTGGAAACTTGGAGTCTCACCATTAGAATAAGAACCTCTCTGCCCTCTGCAAACAAGTTTGCAGAGCTCAAACAGTCCAATCTCAGGTCTTTCATTCACTCTAAAGGGAAATGGAGGAGTACAATTCCTTCGAAGAAGGCTAGTTGTTTTGCACGTAAGAAGTAAAGGAGTCGAAATTTTAAAATACCAAAAAACACCATAACTTTATCTATTGGAATATTCTTCTAGAGTCTGTTATCCTTGGGCCTGCTGGAGTGGGCTTGATATTAACAACAGGCTGGGCAGCTAGATTGTCTTATGGGCAAAACAAACTGGACTGCAGGATATGGATCAGGAATATCAATTCATAAGCAGATAATCCACTACCCTCTATAGTTGAGACAACACTTAGATTATGATGATGATGATGATGATGATGAATCTGAGAATCCACTAGTCTTGGGTCATATCAGTAAGAGAGCTTTGGGGCATGGACCTAAAGTCACATAAGACCCATTGGTGTTGCATTGCATCAGTCCATCAACTCATTTTACTTGTCCAATTAAGAATGATGCAGTAAGATGATTGACTGTGCCACTTGGTCCAATGAAATTAGCTGATGCAAGTTAGAATTTAGATATAATATCTCCTATTTCTAAACCAACTGTATTCATTAGTCAGTTTGTGTTACTATTATCCAAAATTTGCCACTTCCAGGAAAGGCTTATTTGGGAATATTGCCATCTGTTAGAATGTTAGAGTGATGTTCAGCTGATAAGAGTTCTTATTAGCCCATTCTTAT